GGCCGCTTCCACAATGGAGGTCTGGAACAGTGTCCATTCAGACTCAATGTCCCCGACCTCCCCCAGTATTCAGTTGTAATTCTGCCGGAGGTGTGAGTTAAAGCTCTGGCGAACAGGAGCCTCTGCCAGATGTTCCCAGCAGACCCTCACTATGCGCTTGGGCCTACCAGGTCTGACCGGCTTCCTCCCCCGACACCTGAGCCAACTCACCACCAGGTGGTGATCAGTTGACAGCTCTGCCCCTCTCTTTACCCGAGTGTCTAAGACGGAAGACCGCAGATCAGATGATACGATTATGAAATTGATCATCAACCTGTAGCCCCGGGCATGTTCGTACCATGTCCACTTATGGACACCCTTATGCTCGAACATGGTGTTCGTTATGGACAAACCATGCATTGCACAGAAGTCCAACAACAGAACACCACTCGGGTTCAGATCAGGGAGGCCGTTCCTCCCAATCACCCCCCTCCAGGTCACACTGTCATTGCCCACGTGAGCGTTGAAGTCCCCCAGCAAAATGATGGAATCCCCTCGTGGCACGCTAACCAAGGGAATCCAAGAAGGCCGGGTACTCTGAACTGACATTCGGCGCATAAGCGCAGATGACAGTCAGAGACCTATCCCGACCCGAAGGCACAGGGAAACAGCCCTCTTGTTCACCGGGGTAAAGCACCGAGCTGTGGGGCCACCAGTAGCCCCACCCCAGCCCAGCATCGCTCACCCACCGCAACTCCAGAAGAAAAGAGCGTCCAACCCCTCTCCAGGAGATTGGTTCCAGAACCCACGCTATGCGTTGAGGTGAGCCCGACTATATCTACTTGATATTTCTCAACCTCACGCACAAGCTCAGGCTCCTTCCCCACCAGAGAGGTGACATTCCATGTCCCGAAAGCCAGTTTTGTCAGCCGGGGATCGGACCGCTAGGGCCTCCCTTGGCCGCCACCCGATCCACAATGCATGGAACCCCTGACATTCCCCTTGCGGGTGGTGGGCCCACCTGGGGACAGTCCCGCGTGCCTCTTTCGGGCTGTGCCCGGCCGGGCCCCATGGGCCAAGGCCCGGCCTCCAGGCGCTCGCCAACGGGCCCCTCCCCCAGGCCTGGCTCCAGGGTGGGGCCCCGGTGACCCTAGTCCAGGCGAGGGAAACGGGACTTTGCTTGAATGCCTTATCATAGGGTTCTTTTTGGATTGCTCTTTGTCTGGCCCCTCCCCTGGGACCTTTTTGCCTTGAGAGACCCTACCAGGGGCAATTGCCCCCGACAACATAGCCCCCAGGGTCACTGAGGCACGCAAACCCCTCCACCACGATAAGGTGGCAATCCAAGGAGGGGATTTAATACAATAATTTTAACCATAATAATTTTAATCATTATGCCAAAATCCCAAAGGTCTTAAATGGTTTGTAAACTAGTAATTATTGTTTGCATCTGTTTTGTTGTGGAATTAACAGACAATGCGCACACAATTGCATATTTATTCCTAGGCTAAAAGTATGACAGAAATGTATTTTATCTTTTCTTACTGACAAATTCCTGCAGACTCCAGTGTTGCTTAGGTGAAAAAGTCACTCACTAAATCACATTGCTCAACACCAAGAAATGAGGTGCTACATAAAGCTAAAAACTGCTAAATTAAAAATAGTAATTATGCTGCTATGACACTGAACTTATAATTTTATAGAAAAATTGACATAAAGTCATAGGCAAAACGCATCAATATATTAAATCCGCTGCAGTGTTAAAAATATTCACTAGGGGGCACTGTGGCACTGTCCCATTCTTTCTATGGCTCTAGAAGGAGAACTGCGGAGGATATAGTACAGCCCGGTTTTTGGCGAGTGCCGCACCGATGGAGGACTGCCTCCTGTTTGGGTAATGAGGTGACCGCCCAGGAAAAGAAGAGGAAGGCAAAGCAGCTGACACTGCATTGCAGAGAGCAGAGGAGGGGGCTGGGATTCGGGCACAGGAAATACGGGGGGGATTCCCTACTGACAGTCTGCAGAGTGTCGGTATTAAACACTGCAGCATGAAGTGCGCCATCTGTTCCCGCAGGCGGAGAAACGCGGGTGGAGAAAATCCGTCAGCTTAATTCTATCCCCAAAACGTACTGACCACCGGATGACAGTTCACACCAAACCTCGATACTGACATGTTTTTTGAACCCAATAAGCATAAGAACTGTTCCTCAAAATGCTATTTTTTCTGTCTTATGTGGTTGTCAGAATATGCAGTTCTATTTTGGGTATTGTAAGGGAACTTGGCAAAAAAGAGAGAAAACTGGTTCATGGCTGCTATACTGTATACTAGTTGTTTTATCATCAGCACTGATATTATGCTGGAAATGGTACATAATTGAGTCAATGCTGGGCAGAGCCTCTGAGTCCATATGCTGAGCAAACCGAAACTAAACAGGATTTAAACAGACTCATTAACAGTTGGCAGCATTAAATCTTAATCTTCCTTCCAGCCCCAGAATGCCCACACTCTCCACCAAGATGGTCTGCCATGTGCCTGTGCAATATCAGAGTCGCCCATCCGCTCTCTGACCACACTGCTCTACTAATCCAAATCAGCAGCATCATAATGTACAATAGCTGGACACAACGGGCAGGCTCTGAGCAGATCACATGACTATCTTAATCCATTTACTACAACATGGGTATGGGCTTCAGCATCTGGAACAGTGCTGGATTTTACATTTACTTGTTTAAAAGCATTTTTTTGTCCAAAGCAACAGTGAAGGTCAGAGAACAAGGTCAGACAGTGTCCCTGGAACACATGGGGTTACAGGCCATGTTCAAGGGCCCGACAGTGACATCACTCTGCCGGTCACAGCATTTGAACCAGCATCCTTCTCATCCGGAGTGAAGTTCTAACCTGCAAAGGAACACTTCTCAACTAAGCCTGAGTCTCTATATGTCAGTGGTGGGTCAGTTTGCTTAGCAAAATGGACTGAGAGGATCTGCTCAGCATTGACTGAATTCTGTACCATTTCCAGCATAATATCAGTGCTGATGATAAAACAAATAGCACATAAATGTGCTCACTAACTCTGTACCCACGTCTTATTAAAACCTAGATTTTTATTAAGCAACATTACTTATTTTGATCTGCTTTATGCAACCGACTCAATATTTTAGAAGACATGGGAACCAAACACCATGGCCAAAATCAAGCATCTCTGTGAGAATCAAACAGCTCTATGAGAATTCAGCAGCCCTGTGAAAATCAAACTGCCATTTGAGAATCAGGCAGCTCTGTGAGAATCCAGCAGCCCTGTGAGAATCAAACAGCCTGTGACAAACAGCTCTATGAGAATCAAACAGCTCTATGAGAATCAAACAACTCTATGAGAATCAAGCAGCCCCGTGACAATCAAACAGCTCTATGAGAATCAAACAGCTCTGTGAGAATCAAGCAGCTCTGTGAGGATTAAGCTGCCCTGTGAGGATCAAGCTGCCCTGTGAGGATCAAGTAGCTCTGTGATAATCAAACAGCCCTGTGAGGTTCAAACAGCCCTTTGAGGATCAAGTTGCCCTGTGACGATCAAACAGCTCTGTGAGGATCAAACTAGGGCATGATGGGAAACTGGTATGTCTCTCTCAGCTATGCCCAGGCAATCAGGGGGTACACACTTAAATTCTGGGTAAGGGGAGGTTCGGGAGACTCTGAATAATGAGCTTGGCTCTGAAGGCCTGGACTCCGGAAGCAAGGAGCAGGTTTGGCTTTGGCTTCTGTTCTGCATGTCGCCCTGCTGACCACAGACCGGCTGCCATTAGAACCCACCCCAACGGGGTGTTCCTGGTTCCCGCAATTCACACTGATGCCTGAACATGGTGTTCTCAGTTCCTGTCCCACCCTACAATATTAACATTAGTAATTAAAACATCTCAAATAATATCGGTCTAATAAAATCTATTGTAAATGATTATACAACATGTTATTAAGGAAGTGGATCAGTGTCATCTTTTCAACAGCAGCAAATTTATATTTATACTTGGTGGAGTAACTTTCATTTGCTGTAAAACAAATATTTTAAATTCTGAGAAATCTGTTCCAAGGAGATCAGTGATAGAGAACAGCCTGTTAATAAAGAATTTAGCTTGTGGGACTCCAAAGTTGGGGTGGTAGTTAGCACTGATGCCTCTCATCTCTGGGACCAGGGTTCAAGTCTCTGCCAGGCTTCCATGTTTGTTGAGTTTGCATGTTCTCCCCATGTTGTTGGGGGGTTTCCTCTGAGTACTCCCACCAGCCAAAAATGTGCTGTCAGCATTTGTCAAATGTTGTCAAACTGCCCATATGTGTGAGTGTGCCCTGTGATGAGTTGGTGCCTCATTCTAGGTTGTTCCCTACTTTGTGCCCGTAGGTTCTAGGATAGGCTCTGGACCCCCTTCCACCCTGAATAGGACAAGTGGTTTTGGAAAATGGATGGATGCTCTAGAAGCAGCTGATAGGTACCAGCAGGCCAAGTGGAATGTGACTCTAGCAGTGGGAGAAGTGAAAACTCAGGTGTGGAAGGAATTTGGTATGGACATGGCGAAGAATTTGGTCAGCTTTGAAGAGATTCTGGCAAAGCTTCAAGCAACTCAGGAGGGGGAAGCAGATGAGTTACTGGCTCAAGCAGAGGAAATTAAGTAGCTTGGGGTTTTGTTTATGAGTGTGGGGAGTGGGAGATTGACGAGCAGATCGGTGCAGTGTCTGTTATGATAAAGCAAGAACTGAGCCAGAAAGTCCAGCTAGGGATTTACCAGTTGATCTGCATTCCTACCCTTACCTGTCTCCAGCTTTGGGTAGTGACTGAAAGAATGAGATTGGAGCCTTAGGGTGAGGAGCTTGGACATTCAGGAAGGACTCAAAGTAGAATCATTGCTCCTCTGCATCGAAAGGAGCCAGTTGAGGTGGTTGAGGCATCTATCTAGGAGGCCTTCTTGACGCCTCCCTGGGGAGGTGCCTTGGACATGTCCAACCAAGAGGTGCTTTAGACATATCCAACCAGGAGGAGTCCTCAGGGCAGACCCAGGACACGCTGGAGTGTTTGTGTGTGTGTGCTTGCATGTGTGGTCCAGGTATACATTACATTGCTGGGACCAAATGTCCCCAGAATGTGATAAAAACATCATGACATTGTGGGGACCATTTTTTTCGGTGAAACTCAATTTCATAACTGCAATCAAAAAACTAAAAATGCCAAAAGGCTATTAATTTGACTATTACTATCTATTTATTTGGTTACTTACGGTTAAGGTCAGGGCTAGGCAGGGGTTAAGGTTATCATTGTTCGGATTAGGGGTTTTACTCATAGAAATGAATGAACGGTCCCCACAAAAATATGAGTACAGATCTGTATATGTGTGTACTTGCGCACACGCGCGCGTGTATGTGTGTGTGTGCTGGGTGCAGTGGCGGAAGCAGTGTGTGGGCAGCGGAGGCGTGATCCTTTCTGTCTACAGCAGTGTGGAGAGCTGAGTCACCGGCCACTTCGGCCTGCTGTGACATGTGGCTCCTTTTGCTCTCCTTCTGGCTGCATGCTGTGCTTTACCTTTGCACCTGTGAGGAGCCACAGTGACACACAGCTCTGCTTCTCCTCCCCTCTCTCCCTCCTGTGCTGCACGATCTCACTATATTTTAAGACCTCTTTAAAACTGGAAACCATGTGACAGAGCTCAGTTTGCTTGCTGTCTGTTTGTCTCTCTGCCTGCTGTCTGTCTCTCTGCCTGTCCATCTGTCTGTCTCTCTGCCTGTCCATCTGTCTGTCTCTCTGCCTGTCCATCTGTCTGTCTCTCTGCCTTTCCATCTGTCTGTCTCTCTGCCTATCTGCCTGCTGTCTCTCTGTCTGCCTGCCTGTCTGTCTCTCTGTCTGCCTGCCTGTCTGCCTTTCCATCTGTCTTTTTCTCTGCCTATCTGCCTGCTGTCTCTCTGTCTGCCTGGCTGCACCCTGAGGTGCACTGAGAGTTTGTTATGCAGACGACTGGTCTGATGAGGGTGTGTAAGCGGCGAGGCCAGCCTGTGCAGGTGTGCAGTTTAACCCCACTGTATTCCGCACTGCCAGCAGAACAAACTGTGACTGACTGCAGCTGCCTGGGGCTGGTCTCCCATATTGAGATGCTGTGGTTCCTCCTCTGCCCTGAGGCAGGCAGCACTTATCCAGGACAAGCTAGGTAGTTACAGTGAATATCACTGCCGGCCAAAGAAGGCCCTGCAAAGCCTCCCTCCATTTCAATGCTCATTTATGTGATCATGTAAGATATAAATACTACACGTTCAGTTATAAATAACACCATGCAATGGTATCTTGACCCTGTCACCATATTATATATACAAGTTAAGATACAAGTTTCATGCGATCGATACTGGAATGCTCCAGGCTCCAGGATAGGTGGTTAGAGCAGTGTTTCTCAAACCGGTCCTTGGGGACCCCAGCTAATCCACATTTTTGCTCCCTCCCAGCTCCTGGTAGCAAATAAAAATGTGGAGTGTCTGACAGGTAGCTGGGCGGGAGCAAAAATGTGGACTGTCAGGCATGGAACTGGGAGGGAGCAAAAATATGGACTGTCTGGCAGAGAACTGGGAGGGAACAATAATATGGCCTGGCTGGCCATAGACCAGGTTGAGAAACACAGGGTTGGAGGATGCATGGATAAAGAATATTAGTAATATAAAAATACCTGCAAGTAAAAATCATACCTGAATTTCATTTAACTTGTATTTGATTATTTGTATACAATGCAGCTATAGGTCTAATAAAATGCAATTGTAAAAGCGTGTATGTTCAGATGGAAAACAAACATATAGGACACAGAGCCTTTTTGACAGATCCCAGAATTTATTGGGCACCCTCATGTGGTAAACAGGAAGGAAGACAAACCAAACAAGGCACAAATACACAGTTTGCTCTGTAACCTAAAGCGATAACCCCATATCCCTTTATTTCCACACAGAATGAACTTTTCAGAACTATCAATAGCTTACTGATTAGCAAAGGGGCGTGTCCATACTGGCCCCACCCCTAATCTGATACAGCCACGCCTCACACATTTTAACATGATCTTGATTCAGATGCCTGTTATCTTCACTTTACTCTTCTGCATTTTAAAGCTAAAATCCCAACTGAAAGAAACATCATGTAAAACAGTTAGCCATTGTAATACTTTCTTGTTTTACACAATGATGGCCATAAGAGAATTGTATAAACTGTTTTCCCATGTGGCATCTGTGTTGCAGCTGCAATATGCTTTCATCTTGAATCATATGTGACTGGAGGAACATAAACTTCCATCCATCCATCCATCCATCCATCCATCTTCCACAGCTGTAATACAGTACACAGACATGGTGAGTATGGGGACCACCCCAGAAAGCACAGCACACCAACCCTGGATGGTATAATAAAAACACATAATAATGTGAAGCAAAAATTCTTAATTCTTTATTCCGGAGAATCCCATTTAGAAGAACCCAAGGCAACAATCGTCGTAACTGCATGCGCTCTGTTCATTTCCTGCTCCCAGTCCATCAAGTGTTTTTATTTTCTGAAGGTCCATCACTTTGAGTCAGTGATTTTTTTTAGGTGATTTTTGGCACCTACTTTCCTCTTGAGTGTGGAAATTTGCTTTATGCATTAAATTAGTTTAATGTTTTTAGGTGGAATTCATATATACAATAATTTATGTTTCACCTTTAACATTAATTCAGCATTGTTTTTCTGTCTGACTGACAAGGCGAGCGGTTCTATGATGACCATGGACAGATATGATGATACTGGACATCCTGGTCTTGTTCCTCCTCATAAGTGAAATCAATTGGAAATTTATCCATTAGTCATAACTGAGGCAGTGGGTGAATTATGCAGTATTTTAATCTGGTTAATGAAGCATTTCCCAAATCCAAGAATCAGAGTAACAAAGAGGAAGGACCAATTAATCTTATCAAAGGTTCTTTCTGCATATAAAGATGCTATAATAATTGAATGTTTGGGTTGGGTTGAGTGGGTTCTGCTGCATTAATTTTAATAGTCTGCATATCATTTCTTAGGAATATCTCCCTTTAATGAAGCCAGGTTGATTTGTGTGTGCAAGTGATGAGATTAGTGATTTCAAAGAGCAAAATCTTTGCTTATTATTTATAAATCTGAGGACCTTGTAGGCTTTAAGTAAGTGTAACTATCGTGAACATTAGATAAAACATGACCCAGATGCAGCAGTTTTTCAGCAGACACAGACTTCATTTGATAGACTTTATTTGGACAAATACCAGAATTATTGTATGACAACAATTACCGAGCTGGGGAATACAGTGAGAGCAGCTACATATATACACTGAACAGGATTGAAAGTCAAGAGACAGGTGTGAAGGGTCAAGATATAAGGGTAGGGAACAAGGTGATTATGGGATGGCCAGCGACCTCTGCTGGACAAAAAGGGACTGGGTGTAGGCAGATCATTGCAGAAACAAGGGCAGCATTCATATTAAGAGTTATGCTCAGACCACTGAAAATTTCCAACTGCATTTTATGGAATAATAAGTGATAAATGACCAGTGGTAAAAAAATTTTTTAAATAGTGCATCGCTAAATATGGCATTTCATTCTTGTTAGCAAAATCAGAAATTTAAGTTTGCCAATCCTGTTCTGCACATATATACAAGCCTAAATTCACCCACAACACCATCCGTTTGGCGTTTGGAACATCTTTTTTGTATTATGGCCTCCAGTTAACCGCATATCTCCACGATCTATTTAATGTACCAATAAATGTTTGCATTTTAACATCATACATTGTCAGTGTCTTTTGTGTCATGTCCTGGCCTTGACTGGTCCGTAACACTGTTTATTAGAGTTGGACTCATTTGAAATTATTTGAAACTAGTTATGTAAATAGTGATGCAAACATCTTAGTAGATAAAACTATAGAATCAGAACAGTTGTTATTTGAAAAGCAAAATAAACTCAGATGAAACATTTTGATAAGGGTAAGATAAGTAAGATCTGCCACAAACAGCACTATTCTCTACAAACAGAAAATGTCATCATAGTTACTCCAGCATGTATCCTGTGCATGGTTACAGGGACGGGCTGTTGTCCCGTGCATGGTTACAGAGATGGGCTATTATCCTGTGCATGGTTACAGGGATGGGCTGTTATCCCGTGCATGGTTACATGGTTACTGTTATCCTGTGTATGTTACCATGTGCAATTTGTGGCCACACTGTGTCAGTAATGTGTTTCTGTCTCAGTTGAGAGGAATGTTGAAAAATGTTGCTGCGGATTATTAAATGGGAAAATACTGTTAGATACTTCTGGGCCCTAAATGCCAGACCACCTGCTGGGATCTAGTAAGTTTCTCATGGTATCCTAACCATGATCTGACAGATCAGTCCAGTCGTAGAGTTTGGATAATTGAGTATTTGTACTATTAAAAAAATGTTTTAAAATATATTCATACTGTCACACTTGGGTGAAAGAAGTACAATGATTGCAGCACGGCAGGGCCATCCAGGGGAGGGCAAGACGGAACAGTGGCAGTCTCTTCTGGGTTGGACGCAGTAATAAAAACGTCTTTCACCATCAGCATTCAGGCATGGTTCAGCAGCAGTGGCGGCTGCTGACCAAAATGATTAGTTATGCAAACTGTAAACTAACCCCACCCACCAAGTGTAACTTCAGACCAGATCATATATGAGTCATTACTATAAATATTACCGTAAATATCAGGGG